GGTTACTTGCTAAAAAAAATCGTATGATTTTTGCTTTTTTATTATTATTTTTAATATCCTAAATCCTATTTAGAATTTTAAAATATCTTTAAGCATATAGCGCACCAGACAGCCTCTTTGTTTGTTAAGCAAACAAAGTTGCAAGAGCCCTAATTTTAAAGGTTAAAGGGACTGATAAAATGATTGACTATGCCAGGTAATTACATTAGCCTAGGAGGCTCTGTCTAAATGAATAAGCAGTCTTCTGCTTCTCTGATTAGTGACAGGAATCCGTTAGGAAGAGCTTGAGTATAATTAGGATGGAGAGAGGGGAAAAAAAAAAAGAAAAAAAAAAAAAAAAGTAACAGCATTTAGGTAAAGCAGGAAATGCAGAAATAGCTATCATGAAACATAATTAAAGGAGCATATTAGGTGTTCTTAATAGTTTCTTGTGCAGTATAGTTTAGAAATAGTTGTAAGCCAGGACGGAAAGAGTAAGTCATATGAATTGGTACTCCTTTGTTACCTTTTCTCAATTTATCAGCATAGAAATTAAGATATCAGTGGAAAATCCATCAGAATCAATGGCAGAAGTAAAATTAAATCTGCTAAATATAAGCACACAATTTAAAGAAATGAAGAAACCAAGTTTCAAAACGCAGCCCTCTTGCCTTCATCTAAAGCTCTGTTGAGCCTTAAAGTCAAATTTCTAGAAATACTGCTTCAGCTATGACGACAAACATTCACAGTCAGTGAAATGCAGACTTAAAAATGACATGGGATTAATAAATATTTAATTTAGAAGCATTAACCTGGCTAAATTAAAAGAAAATAGCATTATATTTATGAAATCAGGATACAGCAAATATTAGGGTATGTCTTTCAACCAGAGAATGCATCCTCAGATTTGCTTCAGCTCAGTCATTGAACTGTGACAATGGTGAGTTCAGTGATAGCTAATTTATTCTCTAAAGAGCAGATTTAAGGATAAACTAGGTTATGTGTCATTTTCAGTGTCTTCCTCATTGTTACTTGATTAATTTAAATGATTTACTTAAACAATACCATACCAGTTTCATTCATACCTGCACTGCTGCAAACAGAGCTGAGCTCTCCATATGTAGAAGGAAACTGGCATTTCTAAGAGCATATCATTTGGCAGGGACTTTCCAGTAAATAAGTGTTAAATGAAACAGCAGAAGCAGCAACAACAAAAACACAAATTCTGAAGTTAGTGGCGTATTGACTATTATGTTTACCATTATGAGACCATGCCTTTCATTCATTGAGGGGTAACAGCACATATGAAAATCACAAATGTAAGACAGATTAGCAAAACAAACAAACAAACAAAAAAAGCAACCCACAAAATAACTGTAATCATAATTTTGTAATTGTTTTATTGCTTAGTCTTACAATTATATACTTACACTACATTATATACTATAATTATACTAATACTAATATACTATATTACATTATATAACATGGCATATAATCAAGAAACTCTACACGTGCCTTGTCACCAAAAATCTACTACAGATACATTTCAGATGAAGAGGGATGCTGTCGATCTATTTCTGACTGCTAGGTCTTCCCTCACAATGTAGTTCCCCCTGCACATTACTTTTTCCTCTCTTCCAAACCCAGCTGTTAATTACTTTAACCTTTAGTTGATTCCCTTGAACTCATGAAGTTTGCATTTTATTAACACTAAGCTAAGTGCAGCTTTAACTTTCCTCCATTCTAATTAATGTAGTTGTAACACTCAATTTTCTTGAAAAACTCATTTACAGAAATTGGTTTAACTTGTATATGTCAATTGGCCCATTTCTTGCGTGACAGCATTTCTGAAAATGTTATGCATTGTATTATCATTATAACAGGGTCTCCTTCTCAGAACCATAAGGATAATTTCTTGCAAGTACCGTATTTTAGTTACTGTTTTATAATATTTAACATCATATTGCATGGTAAGCTAAATTTTACAGCAAACCTGTTCTTGAATATAAGAATATTTAACCTGTACTTAACTAAACCAATTTTATTTTGCCTCACTGACACAGAACACTGTAGTAAAAATTGCCCCAGCCAGGTATTTCTCTATTTTAATGTATGCACTTACAATGTTATCAGTAAAATTAATGCAAAAAAATGCAAATTAATAACTGGATACCAACATGACACATTGGAATTCTAGTGTTACCCCCTCACTGCCACCAACAAACACAGTAGAAATATGACTTAGGAGAAATTACACAGCAATTCTACACAGCGTCAAGACATTTTTACAAAAAAATCCTTTGTGGATAGGGTGAATGAAGTATTAAAGGGGAACATTTTTTTCCCCAGATTACAAACTATTTAAAGAACAAGATTGGACTAGAAATTGGTGCACATTTACATGGAATAGTTTTAGGTCTGTAAGTAGGTCATCAAATTAGAAGCATCATCACCCAAGGGTCTCATTATAGTCAGTGGCAAAAGACCAGCTGAATAACCCCTTAGAGCTGCCCATTAAGTATAATAAGTATCTACAGAGCCTATGTTTTTTTCTTAATGCCCCAATTAACAATTCAAGTTTAGGTACGATGAGTCTTAGTAATCTTGCACCGTGGAAACCTTTCAGCTCCCAACCTCATCCTCCAGGTCAGAAGCAATGCTGGTTACACACCTCCCTCTGCTTCCCAAATGGCACATCACTGTGAAACAGAATATAGATAGAGACCACATTAGTCTCTACGTGCTACTCTGCCAAGAACAGCAAAGCTGTTGACATTTCCAGATGTGCCCACTCTAAAGTCTCCAAGGTAAGGACATTAATGTGTGTGAGTGAGGCTGTGACACCTGTGTGGAGCCAACAGGAAAGTAGCTGCCAGCATTCACATTTGAGAGCCTGATGGAAATAAGGGCTGCAATTACAGCGTGGCCATGGTGCAAGTTTGGGAACTGCTCATCTAAAAAGAAAAGGCTCAGCTCAATGCTGTTTCTTTATAAGCATTTTTAGTGAATTTCTGAGCACACAGACAAAAAAAAAAAAAAAAAAAAAAAAAGGCCATATTGTTGTTCATCCAAATGAATAAAGAATTTAAAACTTACTTTCTTCAACTTTAATTTGTATTCATGAGGTGGGACCCCACAGTATAACTGTTTTCACTGTCAGTTTACCATATTGTCTCACTTATATTTGATTTCACTATTAACTCCTTTTCAAAACATACTTCCTTCTGCATTTCCAAGTTAAATATAATTTGCTGGCCCCATCTGGATTTGAACAGTATTAAAACTGAGCTTCTATGATTCCTGTGCTACTTGACAGCATGTCTGAATTTATTTACTTGGATGAATGATTTAAAATCCAGTGCTCAGTTTCCTGTCTATGACTGGTATATAATAAATTATATATATGAGACTGCCACTGGATGGGCACTTGAGCTTCAGACAGAATGTGAAACAAAGGTGTAGTATGAGAATACTCCTTAATACCTCAGTATTAAGTATTATTATGCAAAAATAATGGCATATGCAGGTGTCATTGAATTTAAATTTAAATAATCATTTAGCAGAAGTAGCTCTTCTGTTCTGTAGGTAGAGGTTTGGTAGGTCACCACAGTAAAGGAAAACATCCTGTCTTGAGCCTGGAAAATCATTTTTATTGTATTTAAACCCATGTAACAAGGATACACACAGAACCAGGGCTCGAACAAAACCATGCAGTATGCATTCTGCTCATCGATGTCAGGACATCACCTGAAGCTAACTAGTGAACAAATAAGTCTGTCTGTACATTCCTACTCATTAGTGTCATTCTGTGAAATGAGTAAATATTAAATGAGAACTAAGAGAGATCAATCTTTTCATTTGGGTTTTTGATGCTTCTTGTCAGGTATAACACAGGACTTCATGCCCATAATCTTTCCTGTCTTTCTCAAGCTTCATCGGGTAAACTAACAGACTTTACTTCTCTGTGTAATGCTTAAGCAAGACGCAGTAAGCCCTATGACAGTGTCTCTATTTAGTCTACTATCAACGACTGTCTGTCGAACCATCATAATTTCTTTTCTATAAGCACATGGCTACTAGGCCTCGATGGTAACTTCTTGACTTGCTTGGAAAAAGAAATCTGAAAGTTGTCTTAGGTTCTTAGGAAGGGCAGTGCTGTGTAAGATACACGTGCAGTTGGCACACGGTGCCTCTGGAGGCTCCGCTGGGTTTCCAGGGCCGTTCATCTCACCCTCCGTGATCCCAAACACCCATTAAGCAATGCACTGAGATCTCCGTTCACTCCTTGCTGCTGCTTGCATTGCATCACGCCCTTCATGGGTCTGGTTTTAAATCCGTAGCATTAAGTTTGGATGTGTTGGCAGGTATGTTAGTTAACAAAGTAGCCAAGCTAATTTGATTATTTGTTCCCAAGAGATAAAGCTGATGGATTTCAACCCTTCCAGCTTCCTCTGCGTGCCACTTGGAAGGCCATCTTTCCTCCACTACTCACCTTGATACCTCTGCTTCAGAAGTGACTATATCTGGGTTTACTGCCTGAAAAGAATGAGTGACAGGCAAAAGTGTTCTCATTTGGGTCCAAAAAATCACCCCAAAAAACTGCTTCTGTAGCTGAGAAGGGTTCATTGTGCTGCCCAGTTAATGAAGGGTTTGAGAAGCGCTCCCTCAGTAGTTTTCTACCTGGATCATGGTGTTTTCCTGATTTCTTACCTGCTTTTTCACTTACTCTCATTTCTCCTTCTGTAATTGCTGATGTAGGTTGTAAAATAACAACTTTTACAGTAAACCACAGAATGGCTCAGGTTGGAAGGGACCTTAGAGATCATTCAACTCCAACCCCCCTGCCATAAGTAGGGATGAAAGCACAGCTGTGTCACGAAGCACAACAGAGGTTGGTTCCTGACATATTTTACTTGGACTCTTTGAAAAAGATAGAAGCCTGTTCTGACGACGTAGTTTTATTTTTTATTCTATTTTTACGGTCAGTGGAGCTAGAGACAACCAGGCCCTTCCCCTGCTCCCACCCCGCAGCGCCTACAGCGAGGCCGCCACCCTCAGACCCCTCAGCTCCGAGACGTGCCGGGGACGAGGAGGAAGAGGAGGAGGAGAAGGAGGAAGAGGAGGAGGAAGAGGCGGCCCAGCCCGGAACCCTGTGCTCGCTGCCGGCGCCGCACCCGGAGCTCTGCGGCTGGTGCACGGCGGCGGCTGAGGGCAGCGATCGCCATGGTGCGTGCGGGCGGGGCGGCTCTCCTTGCCTTGCCTTTCATTTCTTTGCCTTTCCTTCCCTTCCCTTCCCGTCGGGGGAAGCCCGGGAGAAGCCGTAAGAGGCCGGGCTCCCTATGTGCTCATGCGGGCCTCTCCCGAGGGGCTGGCAGTGTGCCCCTGGCTGCTGCTTTCAGCCCCGACTGCAGGAGGCGAGGAGCAAAACGCGTGCAGCTGGCGCACGGTGCCTATGGAGGCTCCCCTGGGTGTCCAGGGCGATTCATCTCCCCCCCGCGATCCCAAACACCCATAAAGCGATGCACTGAGGTCTCCGTTCACTCCTCGCTGCTTCCTGCATTTGCCCTGCGTGCTTACGGGTCTGCTTTTAAACACACGGCTTAAGGCTTTTCATTAAAATTGCATGTTAATCGATAAAGCCTTTCACTTTCGTTCAAACATGCTTTTCCACCGAAAAGCAACATAGCTTAAAACCGTGGCCCAGGACTCTTAAATTTGTGGGCAGGATTCCCTTCTTGCGCAGAGTGCCTCGTACAAGGCAGCAGCCAGAGGCACTCCCAAGGTCTGCTGGAAAAGACAAAGAAAACCCTTCTGTTTTGTTGCATAAGGTATATCTGGCCTTTTCCAGAAATCAAAGCAATCAGAAACTTGAATCAGAAACTTGCTGAGGAGCACAGCAGTAATCTTAGTTTTCTAGCCATAGTTTTACAAAGTATGCATTTTGAGGGAAGGCCTTATGCAAAACGTGTTGCAGTATTCCCTACATTCCTGTAGTTACATTACAGCACCGAGTGTTCAAATAATTTTGTTACTGTGTATGTTATTGAGAGGGGTAAGATCCACCTGTTGGAACTGGTAAAGCACTGCTATGCATTAAGGGCTTTGTGGGATAAGGATTCCTGAGCTTTCAAGTCCCTAGCATGACACATGACCCTATCTTCCCTTTAACGTTTTATTTAACTTTAGTAGCATACACTATCTTTGATTTCTTTTCAGCCAAAGTTACCGAAAAGCAAAGGAGCGAAACAAGAGAAAAAAGTTATCCATCCTTACAGCAGAAAAGCTGCACAACTTGCAAGGGAAGCACACAAACAAGATAAGAAAGAAAAGTAAGTTTACTGTGCAACCTGGTGTACAGACTCAAGGATATTACAGTAGATATTTTTGTTTGTGAGCCCTGGTGAAGGGGGACCTTTATGCTGATACAACCTTAACATCTATTTTAATAAATTAGCTTATATAGCATGGTACTGGCAGGCCATGTGAACTGACATGATTATATTCACACACACAGAATAAATCAGCCTAATTGTAGATCAACTACTTCTAAGATTTCTTGGAGGTCTTTTCCTGCCTTAATGATTCAGATTCTTCTTATCACAGCAGTTTGCTTTTTAATAATCTGAATGGCATCATGCTAGTGACTTCTCATGAAACTTAGGCACCTTGTTTAACTTGACTCCAAGATTTAGTAAGAAACCCGCTTAGGGTCTAGCATCTTTTACTGAAGTACTGAGTTCGTAGTGAAGAGACGTAAACCTCCTTTGATATCCTTCCTACGAGAGAGACTTCTGAATAAGACTAAATAGTTAACTCCTTTTGGTGATTTCCTGCTGTCCTATCTTTTGGTTTTCTTTCCCCTATTGCAGAGGGGAAAGATGCTGGAGAGGACAGGCCTTTGATTTCCATTCTGTCTCAGCTTGCTTTCTCTAAAACATATACCAACCAACTCCTTGAATGCTGATATAGCATGACTGTTCTTTAGAAATCTATTAAACTGTATTGCAAGCGTTCTCTGTCAAAGTATACTGATACTTTGATAGAGTCACACAAACTGAACCAAAGTATTCACATACCTGAAGGTGTTGCGTTGGGAACTAGTGGTGCAGTTAAAGGGTTCCTCAGAGATTGTGCAGATTTTACGGTTGTGCAACCCTATCCAGGGCAAACTTGTAAGGTGTCTCTGCCTAGGAAGGGGCCCTTCACTAGGGAGAATAGGACACAGCTGTGTCCTGTAGCTTCAGGAGAGCTGCTGTAAGAAGTTACAAACAGCATGTGTTGAGGATCGTGCAGATTCCTAGCATGCAAGAAGGTTTCCCTGCTGCTTTGTGTTGTCTGTGCTTTTCTGTTTGTAAATTATTTTTTGGTGATTGTTTTCCTAGTACTAAATTGTCATCCCTTAATTATCTCATTTTGCCTCGTAACTGCCACTCAGGGAGCTTAATCACAAAAGGTAACTGATTCATACTTGATTCTTTGTGCTTACATCTGTAATTTTCCAATAAAGAAAAACATGCACAAGAAGACTTAGCGTGTAAAGGAGTAAGGTAGTGGTTATTCATTGTGACAGGGCACACTTAATCTCCAGTCTTTCAGTGATTGGTCAGCTTCTTGGAGTGCAATTTTTGTTTCCTCTTACAATAGCAAAGAATGAAAGTAAGAAACTCCTGCTGTGGAATAGTCTTCTTCCACATGACTTGCCATTTAATTACTTTTTTTCCTCACAAAAAAGTAACTTCATAAAATTAATAGCTTTTTAAAAAGGAAGCTTACGTAAAAGAAATGAAGAGTTTCCTACCTGTGTAGGAGACAACAGGCTGTATAGCAGCGTGGTTAGTCTTTGTGTTATTTCCTTCTGAAGCATAGCAAACAGAGCTAGCTATAACAGTAAAACTCTTCTAACAAAGGAAGCGGGCCACATTTTGGTGTGAGTTCCAGCTTATAGGAGGAGAAAGCACCATTTTATAGGAAGCTATTAAGTGTTAGCTGCCCAGCAGGCTAATTAAAGGTGTGCTTCAAGCAACCCAATGAAGGAGCAGTTGCATGATGTTTTGTTTTGTTTTGATCCCTAATTCTTGTGGGGATCAAATGAAGCCTAATGTCTTAACAGAGAAACTCAGATTACGATTAGAAGATGTAGATTACTATCATTTTCTTTAGGTTCTGTTACTTTATATTTAACTTTTCTTTCTCAAGCTCTCTTACTCTTTCAGGTATGAGTCTTTTAGGCTGATGGTTACTGGTGTAACCCTTTGTTTCTCACAGGGAAACTGTTCTGCCAAAAGTGTTGTGTCAACCTGGACCATCCGAAGTTTATTGTGAGAGAAAAATATTCTACCCATACATAAGATCTCTACATCTTGCAGTCCTATCTGATTAATTATCATTGTTCACTTTGTAGGTCTGTTTTGTTGTGATGTTCTCTAAATACAATTTGCATTAGAATATAGATAATTGGAGGAAATCATTTAACTCAAAAGACATGGCTAATGTTTCTTTATGTTCTTCCCTTTTTTTCTTTAAAAGTCTTATTCTAGTGTCTTATGGATTTGTATTATCTGTATTAATCAGCTTGTTAAATCTTAACTTTTAAATGTTTTTATTTTTTAATAATGGGAGTTATGCAGATGTTAAAAACAGTTAGTTTAGCCACTAGTCAGTCTTACCAGTGCAATTACTTAGCTGTGAGTTTCTTTAGTATGCGATAGGGGTGGGGTTTGGGTTCAGTTTGCAGAGCTCCGAAAATGACTAAATACATTTCGGATGCTGTAGGCTGAGGAAGACTTTCTATTCTGTTGAGGGAAAAGCAGTAGCCCACACCAGTCACGTGAACACATGTACACCTTATCTATTGATAAATGTTCAATACAAACGTATCATTTGGGTGTAGGTAGCCCTTGAACAACATGTTACTGGAAGCTCAATGTCTTTTGTGGAAGTATTGGTAAATTTTTTCCTTGATTTTTGTGTTGTTTTTCTTTGGTACTTGGCTTGAGACAGGATTCAGGACTAGAGACAATTTAGGCTTCTATTTACTTCTTTACTTTTCTATACGAAGAAGTTACAGAAATAGCTATTAACATGCCTGCTCATGTTAAATAGGAAAGGAATTTGCATTTAGCTATAAAATGCAGATTCAAGTATCTTTTCTCCAAACAAGCTAAATAAAAAAAGGAAAGACATTACCCACCAGGAATTTCAGTAAGACCGTGCAACCCCAGGAAAAAGGCAGGAGAGATTCTATAAGCTGCAGAAATCTGTCATCCAAGTAATCTTCCATGCAAGCATTCTCAATGAAATATGACAGTAATAACAAGCTTGTTGTCCAGAAACTGCCTGTATTACAAAGGACCAATCTTGACCGTAATAAGGGGAGACAGGCCAATTGGCTTTAGAAAATTGACTACAATCTTCTGTCACTCTTCACTTGAAACACACCTTTCTGGGTCCATCTTCACAGCTCTCCTCAAGGTCTAATCAGCACCAAATTCCACTATATTTCTGCCAATTTATTCTTAATCTACATGTGAATCCTTATTCCTATAGGCAAGTTGTTTGGTCTGTTAAATCATTACAAAGATGTCGTTAAGAGCCAGCAGAACATTGCTTTTTCTACACTTCAGGTAAGTAGAACACACTGAAATAGCCCTGGAACTCCTGTTAGTAATGATGCACCAGCACCACCCATATTTTGTTTGTAATTAGTGAAATCTCTGTCATAGTTTTTGGTAGCCAAGGCTGATTTATTGCAGGTTTTTTTCCTTCATTCCTGATGCAGGACATATGCTTTCTGTTTTAAATTATTCAGGAGTCTGTGCGTTTTTCTTACAGAGATACCAGTCTAAACACTACCATGCTCTGAAAGCTAAGAAATTTTTACAGTATTTCTTGATCTGGCATGAAGTACTGTTTCCCCTTAGGAATAAGCAGGAGTCTTATATCTGCTTGTGGAACTCTATTGTTTGTTTCTCCTTAGCTTTTCTGTTGCCTAACCTCTTAATCTCTCTTGAGCTCGTATGATCCCAGTTGTGCTGTTCACAGCAGTGATACTTTGAGGTGTATTCTTGCACATTCTTTATGTAAAACTGAGAAACGTTAGCTCTTAAAACTACTTCATTTTTGGCTACAGAAATAAAAAATGAACTGCAAATATGTCAATTTTTAGTTTTTATAAAGGTAGTTTCATATGGAAGTGTCCTAGATTGCCTAGCCAAGCTACTAATTGGTGGGTCAGCTAATAAAAATTGGCATGCGTAGGGAGAACTACAAAAGGTATTTAGCAACCCAAAACAAGAAACAAAAGGAGATTTGTTCTGTCAGCCATGACATTTCTTAATGACGGAGTCTGTCTTCATTCTCAGAGCTGTAAGTGGCATTGTATAGGTGGGTATGACAGGGAAAAAAATACCAAATTAATAAACTAATTTAGCAAAATAGTATTTATTCAATTTTAATATTTAGAGCAGTTGAATACAGTATCTGCGATAAGAAGTGCTAATGGAGCATGAAAGTTTGAACTTTTAAAGTACCTAGTAAATCTCAAGAAAGCTGCTTATCACCCTTATCAATAATCAATGGCTAAGCATGATTTGATTATTTTTTTTTCCTTTTGGTAGAAAATTATTAAGAAGTAACAGCCTCCCTACCACACGATTATATCCCTGACATTATCCTCTTTCCCTTGAGTAAAAGATGTTACTCACTGTGTGGAAGGAGATGAGAGGAACTGTCTTTGCCTTAGCTCATTTGATTAGCTCCCTGCTAATATTATTGTCTTCTAGCAGTCATTGAGGTCAGGCTTTTATGAGAAGTACAGTGAGGCAATATCTGATCCTATCATCCAGTATTTCTCATACTGAAATAAGTTGTGCACACCTAAAGACTAAAGGAGGTTTTTCCTCCAGAAGATAAGCCTGGTTATGTGCATCATTGCTTAGATAAATAAATGAGCCAGCGACCATCACAGGCCCAAATGGCAGCTCTTAGTGTTTTAAAGCATAGATAGATGACAATTTATGATCCTAATCAGGAAGCTTTTTTCAGACGGCATTGTAGTTTTCTCTATGGCAACACTTTGCAGATGTGCTTGGCTTGCTTTGTTGCCATGCAAGGTTCGTAGCAGGGACTGTGGCTGTGAGGCCCCACTGCATGGTAAGAGGAATCCTTGCTGTGGATTCTCTCACCTGTCACAAGTCCACAATCTGTGCTGTGAGGGCTACCTACCACAATTTTTATTGACAGTGTCTTCTATAGCAGAGTCTTAAAGCTGACTTCTACTCTAAATACGTTTTTTAAAAAAAAAAAAAAAAACAACAAAAAAAAAAACTTGTTCTCATCCAGATCTGTCCTTTAATCCACACAAACTGGTATGGTTTTCATTTAAACACTAGAGTCTTTTAATTAATCAACCAGCTTTATTTGTGGTTGCTTTGGTAAAACTCATCACCCTCACATGACTTCTATGGATTTTTATGTTAAAAATCTTCATTTTAAAAACAATTACTTTTTTTTTCATATTAAACATGTAAAGAACCCAGATGCTGCTGAGGTACCTATAAAAAGTAAAAAGCCTTTTCGTTACCGTGTGTTCTTAGCACCTTAGACACGCAGTTGTTTTTATACATACTTCAGGACAGTCTTCAGAGAGTGAAATACAACATGAAAAAGCTAATCATTATTTAATAATGTAGGTTTATGGCCAAGTGACCCAAGTATGTTTGTCTCTAGAAAGTAGAGCTTTCTCTTTTTATGTGAACTTTTGCGACAGGTGATACCTTCTGTCCTCGAAGTAGGACACTCTATAGGATTTAATGAGCATTTCACAGTTCAGTTAAAACTGTGAAATGCTCATTAAATCCTATAGAGTGCAAGGAATCAATTTAAGTAGCTTTGAACTGAGTTGATTTTTTGACAGCATTTTCTCTTTTAAATGATATCCTTTATCATTTTCTTTATCAGTTTTCTTATTAAATAAGAGAACCTCCTCTTAATTATATCCCAAGTCTTTGGATATATCCAGCGAACATGCATGGCTAAGATATTTTTCCAGTGACAAACATTATACTCATCTCAATCTATTCCTTTCTGCAAAGGAAATGACATTAAAAAACATCCATTGCTGCAGACTGAATCTGAGAGCTCCAGAGCATGAGGCAACAGGAAAACTTGTGTTCTCTAAGAATTTTTTGATATGACTGGAATAATTAATCCCAAACTGAACCGTGTACACACATCTCACAGAATACAGAAGGCTTCAGTATCCCAGCAGAAATTGAGGTGGAGTGGAAAACACATTGAGATTAATTTTCTTAATATTTTTAATTTAAAAAGTTTAATTTCAGTTTCTTAACACATTAAGTTTTACTGTTGACTAAGCACTCACTTTAATAATTAGTTTATTAAATAGTAATGATATTTTTCCTATTGATTTGTGAGGATGCACTACAGTGAAGCCTTCTGTTTTGGATTTTCAAGCTCATGAAATATACCAGCAGAATATTACAAATACTTAATGATACTAATACAATGCAGATCTTTCATGAATTCTCTTTACTGTGCTCTAAGAAATGTGTTATGTCGTGTTTTCATGCTGTTTTTCTATTTCTTTTCTTCCAAGACACTATTTTAACTTAATAGGTAGAGTGGATGAAAGTGCAAAAAGCAGAAATTTTCAGTGAAGCAGAGTATGTTGTATGTTGTTCTGAATTTGGCAGATAACTTCCATTTGAAATATTACCTTGACTTTCATCTTGACTCCAAAATTATTTTCTGGAGAAGAAAAGTGAAGATAATTGTTCCATGGTATAATTGACATGGTATTCATTCTTTGCTAACATGTGTGTTTTACTTTGTTAGGTTGAAGATTGAAAAAGCTTTGCGTTTGAATATTATTGGTGAGCAGAAACTTCTATTACTGAATACACTAGTCAACTTTTTATCATAAAATTTCAGTTTTACCAACTTTATAGGTTCTCTATTTGAAATTGCTTTATCTATAATCTGACTCTGTAATTTTAAAATAGACTTTGGAGAAGTGCTGAAATACCTGAGGTTCGCTTAAGTATTACTTACTGGGTTGAATTCAGGGATTAGAGCCTAATCCTTAGTCAGTGTACATGACAACAGGTCAATATAGAACAAACATCTCTTTTTATACATCTGTACCTGTATTTATTTTACTCGTCTCCATACTTTCCTGAAAGATTTCTAAAATAAGATGATATATGTAGATTAACAAACACTGTAATAATGTCTGCCAAGTAGATACAAGACTTCAAGACACAACATCAAATATTTTTCTTTCAAATGATTGACATTCACCTTTCCAATTAAATTATTGGAAAATTGTGATAACTGGAAGTCTTGTTCAGCCACTCTATTGTCGTTATTTTCTTTGGGCATTCATAACTTGGCATCTTAGGCAATTGATATTGATATTTTAGATACTAGTTTCCAGTAATTCACAGTGAGGTATTAAAACTTCTTTCTGTAAGGAAGATAATGTTTCTATTATAGCTACCTGGTACAAACAAAATCAGTGAGCCAAATTTCTGCGATGCCATTCTGAATCTTGAATAACGGGGGTTTATTTAAGAAACGTTGAAGATACCTAATCTGATACCTAAGCTGGTGCTACCATGATAATAAAATCATTAATGTTCCTTTTTTTTTTTTTTAAAGGAGAAAAGTTGCAATGGTTTCAAAGTCACCTTGACCCCAATAAAACTAGCTACACAAAGAAGGAAGCTTGTGAACTACTTGAAGAGTAAGTCTGCAATTAAGACAGGACTGAAAACCTTGATTTGTCTTTTAAAATAGTGTTCTTAAATGTAAATATATATATTATATATATATATATATATAAGAACACTATAAATAGTGTTCTTAAATGTAAATATATATATATATATATATTTACAATAGAATTATTAAAGTAACACTTGCATTTTTATTTAAGTGTCTCTTCTGTTGTGTGGAGGATTAAATAAATGTAATTGCCTGAATTTTTGTTCAGGCAATTTTGGGCTGTTCAGTGAAACAATGCACAAAGTTTGTTCTATTCCTTACACCTTTTTCTTTAATTTTCTTTGGTAAGAAGATTAAATGATATTCAGGTGGACAGATTTTTAGGGCACGAAATATCAAAAGTGGATTTGAGTAAGAAAGAACTTAGTTCTGTGCTGCTGGATATATGTACCTGTGGCCTGTCCTGAGTTTTTACCTTCAAGCATAAGGATGTAATATTTACGTATTCTTAAAAATTTGCATTATGTCCATTTTCTTTCAGAAGCTCTGAAATACTTTTCACAGTTTATGAAATCTGTAAGCTGCTAGCCAACACTAGTGATACTGCAAAGGCAGTAACAACTTACTCTGTGGATCCAGTTTGGATGATTACACAATGATTATACAACATGGATGATGTCACAGTTATGTATAAGAAAAGAACTACAAAACTCATTAATGAGATAGTGAAATTCAGCTCTTAAAGTTTAGCAAAACTTAAATCTAACACTGAGAACTCATGATAGCATCGAAGTTTTATCTAAAGTAGTTTGAACAAAAAAAACAAAAATGTTTTGTAAGCAGCAGATGATTCAAATTATATTTCCAAATGGGGCTTTTACTTTGACAATGGAAGTGATGTTTCTTAGATTTGAACTGTATCTCTGACTAATTTAGAAAATATAATTTTTAAAATAATTCTGTTGTACAAGTATTTTGCACGAATACCTGTAGCTTAAGTTCATCTTCTTTCTTTCAGATACATGTGTCGATTCAGTGATGAACTGGAGCAGATTGAATTACGAAACAGTATTAGAGGTAGACAGGGAAGACAGCATGGGTCACGGGAAGCTGTCATCAAGCAGACCATGGAACGAGAAAGACAGCTCTATGAAGGCTATGGGATAGGTATGTAAAAAGCATTAGAATTAACCATGCGGTCATACCCTCTCCTTCTCCTCACGAGGCTGGAACTTAAGTGAAATTTTTAGGCATGATGTTTATTGTTAATTTCTCAAAGGAATTCACTAACAGCTAGTTTTTGTTTTTTGTTTTTTGTTTTTTTAATTGAATTTGTTGCAGATAAGTACTTCTAAAGTTTGAATATTTTTAAGTCTTTCTATTAAAATTGAGGGAATCCAGGAAGAAATGCTGGACTATTATGACACATCTGCTCTACAGGCACAAATGATAATCCACAAGGAGGAAAAACACATTTTTCCTTTTGCTCTCAGGCAGAGGAGTTTTGCTTCCTTTGACTCATGGGAGGTGTCGGAGGGCATATATGTGAAGGCCCTAAGACTTAGCCCCTCTTAATAATCAAACTCACAAAAACTCTGAAGATTTCAAACTAAGTGTTAAAGGTGAGAGCTCAGCTGAAAGCACTTTGAGTTTTTCAAATATTTACCTTGGCCATCATCACAAGTTTGAATAAAATCATTATGCCAGTTATTCTCATTGGCTTTTTTATTACCATTTATCTTTCTGTGGCAGTGGAGTGTCTAGTGAAATCTTCCAAGATTAACTGAGAAGCAGTCATGAAAATCATAACAAGTATTAGAGCTGAAGATTTCCTCTTAAAGTGCATAGAGTCTCCCATAAGAAGAAAAACTCTTTATGAAAGTATTTTGTTTTCTGGGAGGTAGCACACAGAAGCAAGCTACTTGTGAGAGAGACATAAGTGTGAGAGTGAGATAGCTGGAAGGGAAGCATCAGTAAGCTGGTGAAATAAGAAAAGGAGGACAATAATTGTACAAAAAACGAAGACTTGAAAAAAGTTAAGTACAAAATAGTACTGAAATTTATGATTTGCATTTTTCTTTCACAAATAAGCATGTTGGAGTCAAATGATGGACTTGTCTTTAATGCTAAAGTATTATTCAAAGGCAGTCAGTCTGGCTAATAGTCAAAGCAAGTCATGGAAGAAGTGAAAAATCAATATTGATCAACAAGGGAGAGCAAGGTTTGGGCTGCATATCATATTCCCCTTGATTGTATTTTACCAGTTAAAAAGAAGTTGTAAAAATTTTGCAGCTGCTACTTGTTACTTTCACATCTTGCAATCGCAGAGGAATTCAGAAGTGTCTGTATGACTTCACATGTAACAGTAATGCACTTTTGTTCACTTAGAACGGAGGAAAAAAGTCATAGGGAGGTAGATACTATGAATGTCATCAAATGGCTCAATTGTAGAAAATTTCCTTTCTGGTATTGCTTTAAGTTTGTTGTGTTTTTTTTTTTTCCTGTATTGCTTTGTGGAAAGCTGACAAAAAAAATCAGTAGGACTAGATAGAAAGATGTCAAATGCACAAGCACAACATAAAAATAAAGAAGAATCCAGAAATATTGTAAGCAAAATTGGAGGTTATTATAGCATTAGTAAGTAAAGCATTCAGAGATCATGGTGCAACTTCACATATTAAATACACTCTCAAATCATTCATTATTTGTTATCACAGCTGCTGCAGGTTTTGCTCTCTGCCTAGGACAGTATTCATTCACAGAAAATAGTTGCTGCTAAATACTGTAATTAGAGATTGGAGATAAATGGAAATCAGCTGGAAACTGCTTTTATGCTCTACATCATTATCACTGGAAGCTGTAGTGAAGCTTTTGTAACTGACATAGTAACTGTTCCTCCTTCCCCCCCATTCCTGAATTCAGTTATTTCTTGTAGGCATATGCATTTGCTGTGAACAAACTACATGATATGTATTGCTTAGAATTAAGAAATTAGAAGAAATTCTCTTATAATTCAATGCTGTATATATCAGGTATATGCAAATGAAAAAAATATTTTTAGTGTGTTGACAGAAGTGGTAGATATCCAAAAGCACAAATTTTAGTCTTAAAATAGTACCTGTACAGGGAACATTCAGTCAGAGACTGTTGAGTTCTGTTAGCAGTTACTCGTCACCCCCTTACCCCTTAAATATATCTCAGTTAATTTTACTGTTCTTTTATACCTGACATATCGTTATTTGTGTGAGTGTATTTTAATCTGGTCTTTTGTGTTTATAGGAAAGCTATTGAAAGACAGTCCTAGATTTTGACAGGATATTTTGACAGAATTTGGAGTTAGTGTGCTTTTAGTTGAAAAACAATTATTTTATCTGAACATCATACATTTTTGATAATTTGCCTTTATTTGCTTAGCACGTTCTTACAGAAGTAGAAGGTAAATTTTGGGGAAGAAGAGCCTTTAAAGCTAAATGCACCACTTACTAGTTAGTTTTTGAAATTTCAGATAAAGTTGATTTTAATTTAAAGTTTTATCACTTGCATGTATTTGCTGGCATAACTATGGCACTGATAGGTGTTGCCTTCTGTAATAGTCATGACTGTGTACCTGAATGGTTATTAATTTAAAGAACATGTGCATCTACAAAACATCTACATGTACAGTTTCTGACATCCTTTTCCCTTTGTAACTTCAGACTGCAGTAGCACCTTTTCACCCAACTTGGGTGTTATCTCCTTATGATAGTTCTAATGAATATAACATGAATGCTGCTTATGTTGTGCCAAGAGCAATGCCATTTCAGTTCTTGGGAGATTTAGATAAATTTCTTCTGCAAGTCTTTGCTTTGGAAGAGAGAAATGGTTACTGCTGTGAAGAATGATGATGTTTTTAAGATGTTTTTAAGAAATACATACTTCTGAAAAGAAACAATGTCAAAAACCATGACCCTGGTGCATGCTATGGAGATGCATCAGTAAAACAAGTGTTGTTAATCTGACAATACGGTGCTACTGCAGCTTTCCACCATAATGAATAAAGTCAGGTACTGTGCAGTAACTCATTATTTCTACACACAAAACAGCGGGACAAGAGTTCCTAGTTCAGTTCCTAACCTGGCAGTTCTGTGGTTTGCCTTGTATAACATACTGCAAACACGTGTAAGCACAACCTAAAAGTTGCCGCTGCCAGAGCAGTAAAGATGAATTCAGTGCAGCAAGTATTTCCCTTGGGAATACTTGCTTTGTCCTGACACTGCAGTGAGCCCTGGATGATAGGCAAGATAAAACTCGCAGAGTATTATGTTCGGAAAAAGTCTTAGATAACTTCACAGAAGCTATTAGCTTTCCAAAATGGTTTTTCAACAACAACAAGCAATTGAAAGGGCTTTGAGAGTCCTGTCATGTAGCCTTGGTTTGTCTGAGAATAGCACAGACCAGCATGTCAGTGCTCTGACAGAGGGAACAAATACAAGCCTCAGCACATCTCCGAGGCACTTGGCCCAAACTGGCTCAGTGCTGCTCCTGCCACACTCAGTGCTCACATCACCAAGATCCTAGGAGAAAGCTGAGTAGGCACAGCTCCACATGAAACAGCTGAAAGAAGGGGTAATTTTCTCTCAGGTGGAGGCCTGGGCATTTCAGCATTTGGCATTTTGCTGCTGAAAGTGCAATTCAAGGGACTGCAGGGGAAGCATGAGGAACTGTGGGTTTGTTTCAGTGCTTGGTTAGGACAGAAGGACCTCAGGCAGCATTAGTGCCTATCAGAACCAAGGAATCGGCAGACTAAAAAAAGGATTAGGTAAATGTTCCTTGCCTTGTTCAGCTATGAGCAGTTGTACAGCACTTGTTTACCAAAAAGCAGGCTGCAAAAGTCCAATTGGTATCAAGATCAAGTGCATTTATTGTCAGTCCTCAACTGGTACCTTCGTAATCCAATGTAAAGGGAAGAAATATTTTTCTGCATTGTAAAGACTATCTGGCCACTAAGAGAAGTGATAGGTGTTATCAACCTACTTTCTACAATAGCAAAATTATCTATAATCCTGCATTGTTAGCATCATCTGATTTATTACTGAAAGACTCAAGAAAATTGATAGATGAACAAAGACAGAACTGTGTGTTCCAGGCTTGCTCAAGGACAGCATAAGAAGTACCTGAAATGTTACAGTTCTAAGAGCTGAAATAATAAAGCGGATTTAATGTTAAAGAGGGAGCAAGCAGCCTTTCTTCTTGACATACCGGCTGGCTGTGAAGTCTGTACAGAATAAAATACCGTCAATGAACAGTATTTTATGCTCTGTGATGTATTTTATAACATGGAAGAATTTCAAGGCTCCAAAGGCAGGGGTCTCTATAAATTAGTGACAATGTTAAGCACAGGTCACATGCAGTATTTTGGGATTGACCAAGAAAAGAATGGCACTGAATCCAGTCAAAGCAGCTTAACTATCATAGGTAAGATTCTGCATGAGGTTAGGAACTACAACTCTAGTAAGAACACTTTGGTTACTCCAGCAAAGAAAAATGTCTGTCCCATATGCCACTGTACAAGCTGTTTGCCTTCCTTTTTCACTACCAAAGATAAAGATCTGTAGTGAGCAAATGTCAGTTATTTCTGTCAAGCTAGGTCTGGGGAAGACATTGTGTCATTATAAAGTCTTTCAGTCTTGAAGAGAAATTAATAGTTCTAGAGGAACATCAGTGCATGAGAGGAGACAGGTACCAATGTTCTCTATAAATACTACATTGCATTTACTGCAGTGTTTATCGATCATTTCAGCAACCACAGCAAGTGTCCCAGTAGCAAGAGTGGCTTTTGGAACAGTTATTTAACAATGCAAACAATAATTGCATTGCAGTGAGGTTAATTGCCATAAAATAGTCATTCTTTGCTTTCAGACTCTTATTCCAGGTGGAAGTAGTAGTATATCCCAAAATCCAAAAACATGTTCTCTTCAAACACCCGAGAACTTGACTGTACTCTTCGCAGTGTTTGTATTTTATGTACACATACATATTCTTGTACATGGTAAATTTTCAAAAGTGTGTCGAAGTGTTTCTTAGATTTTCCATGCTCAAGTTTACTTTCCTAACTCTGCTACTGATCCATCTTGTGTGCAGTGGTGACTTAAGTGCTTTGAAATTGTTTTTCTTAAACGTTTCACTTACTAAGCACTTAATACTCACTAATTAATAGTGTTCTTTGTATATTTGGGTCAGTTATGAAAGTAAGCTTTTCCATTGTGTCTTTTATCTGTGGTGCATCTTCACAGTAAGTTAACGCAAAGTAGAATTTTTATTATACTGATGAGGGAACACCTCTTAAAAAAAAAAACAAACCTGTCATAAGCAGACCTTGATATACTGGTTGAGGAGGCTAGTTATGCTTGTAAAATATATTAATTGTTTTGATTTCTTCACTGGACTGTTTTTTTTTTTTTTTTTAAAAGGGAATCTTTTAAGTACTTAGTTTCTTGCTATTTTTCAGATGTATCAATTTAGAGAAGGTGAAGCACCTTTTTATTATTTGTCAGGACTGGGTTCTCAATAGCTGTTATGTGTGAATTCTGGAACAGTTCATAAGTATAATTTTACTTCTTTTACTTCAGCAGTGAGAGGTCTTAGTTTTTAATGTATTGTTCTAGTAACTTTCTAGCATGAGTCTTTATCATCATTTTCTTGGTTTTACTGTCTGAAATATGTTCAGCCCTTTAGTTCACATTTCTTTCTTTGAAATGAGACTCACTTGAATAATGTAACACATCTAATAGTATTTAATTTCATTCCTATTAGAAATCCCAGACATTGTGAACGGCAAGCACCTTAAATTTTTCAGGTAAGATCCTTTTATTCTCACTACTAATTAATCTGTTTATCCAAAACACTGTTTCTGAATTTGACATTATGTTGTCTTTTCTTAAAAAAGAATTTATGCCAAATTGCTAAAGACTTGTCTTGTTTGAAAAAGACTAGGTATGGCATTACTAACTCAGCACTCATAGCTGCTACAAGTGATGGTTAATCAGTAAGACACTGGGAGTGTTAGAAACTTTCAACAGAGTTCTATTTCTGCATCTTAAGTGTTTTTTGTTGATATTCTTAGAGAATGTTTTTTTTGTTGCCTGAGCTGTTCATCAATTTACACTAAAAGAATTAACATTCACTGCTAGTTTCTGAGGATCAAGACACAGATTTATAGATAAATGGAAATAGAGTGAAATAGTTTTCTTAACTGAACTGAGATTTCAGATGGTAATTGCAGTCATGTAGTGTCATGACCTAAATTATTTGTAGTCAGAGCTTAACCATTAAGTAACTAAAACAGCACAAAGCTCTTAGTCTTGTTTTCTAAGATACAAGATGCACATGTAGGTGAACTAAGGTCTGCAGTAGTGTTTGTGTATATGTACTAGTTGAAAGTCACGAGAGAATTGATGATACCCACTTAAGGCTCTGGGAGCTGTAGAGCTTGCTGCTTGCTCATCTGGGCTAGCAAAACAATATGCCTTGGAAAGAGGTTGAAGAAACACTTTGGTGTTTCTTGCTCTTGCTGATGGCTCTACCAAACAAGTTACTTGGGGGGGAAACCCCCCAAAACTTAGTAATGCTAAATGTTGCAAGGAATGATACAGCACCATCTCCTAGGGGTGGTATGCAGCCAGAAGTCATAGTCCCAGGATGGTGGAATATTGCTGGAGATTTCAAAGGGACCTCTGGTTGCCATGTTTTTATATGCACAATTGATTTCATGCACTGGGATGTTTGATGAAGGTGTTACTGTTCTATTGCCTTGGTAGAACCCAAAGTAGCATGTGCTAATTGTAAGCTAGACATACTATCTTTGCAGTTGAGAAGTTATCCGTGAAGTACACTATCATCAAGCAGCCATTTTATCAGTTGGATACAGGATTCAACATGGGATATTTAAATGAATCCTTCCTTCTTTATGCAGCCTTTTGAAGTAATGTACTTATCATGTGAATTATTGTTTAATAACATTTTGTGTCTCCTTGAAGCCAGTTACAGCATCACAGAATGGTTTGGGTTGGAAGAGACCTTAAAGATGATGTAGGTCCAACCCCCCTGCCATGGGCAGGGACACCTCCCACTAGACCAAATTGCCCAAAGTCATACAAGATGTTAATAGTTACCATAAATTGTATGGAAGTACTTGATGAACATGTGATATTAGCTCACATTAGCCAGATGAAAGAAAATCTTCTGAACTGCTTTTCCAGAGAAGCTCGCGAGTTTAGCGTGTCTAACCTAGAAGCAGTTGGCCTAAAGTAACTGAGGATACAAGTAGTCTGTGGGGATAAAGTAAAACAGGTTTGTTGGTTGTTTTCAGACTATTAAATGTGAAAGTACTTAATTCTTCACAGACAAATTGCAGCCACTGTAGTGTCCAAGATCAGGTGAAAACATGGATACTTATTCACACTGTAGTTGGACTGATAGCATACATTAATAAAACAGCATCACTTGAGTTAGCATCTCCTGAGAAAAGGTGAATTAAGTCTGCTACTCTTTCCTGATATTCTTATCTATAAGTGATTTTTGTCACTTTCTTTCAGGGAATGGAATGGTGATCTGAAGAAGCTGCCAAACATTAAAATGAGAAAGCTGTCAGTAAGGGATGCTATCTGTAGTCACACTGAGGTGGCAGATGTGGAAAACAAAGAAGAATCAAGTAAAGCAGAAGATGTGGTCTCATGACCTCCAGCTGACTCAAGCAGCTGAAGGGAACTGTAAGAAGCCTATTTTGATGAGCACTGGAAACAAGAATAAAACTAGTGTTTCTTATTATATTTTCATAGTCTTTGCTAATTGCATTTTTGATAAGCTCACTGTGTACTTAAGCTAGAAAGCAAACATTTAGCAGCAAATTACTGTTTAGATACAATTTTCTTAGCTAAATAAAACTTAGTATTTTGTGTCCTTACCTCTCATACTGTACCTGCTCTTTAGGACACAGGCTTCTAAGTTGAGAAATTGCCCATCCTGACTAGTGCAGCGCATCTTTGTTGGTCATAGAGCAGACAAGACTCAGGCACCTATTAGAAATACTTTGTGGGGGGAACTCTTACCTTTTGCTAGTAGCAGCAAGCATACATGCAAAAAAAAACAGGAGGTTTCCAGTTAAACAGCAGGCCCCCAGTTACAGCTTTTATATACCCCTTGTGGTGGTGGGTGGGGTCCTTAGGAGCACACAGGTTTGTGGAAAGTCGTGATAGGCAGCAAATGGGGGTGTTGCACGGCACAAATCATTCAGCTCAGGTGTAAGGAATACACCTGCTTGGTGAAAACATATACACAGATAATGAGATAATCAGTTAAGTGTGAAGAACTTTCACCCTATACCCTCTGAGAATCTGTCAGGAACAGAGACAGCTGGTAAGACGTCAACAAAGCAGTGAGTATTTTATGTTTTGTCAAGAGAATGAGAGAATTACACTGTTCTCTCCACGCTGTATTGAAGAAGTCAGGCCAGAAGCCAATTAAAATTCATATAGTGTGTTTTTAAATGTCTCTTTAGTTTAGTTTATTTTTTTTTCTGTCCCCTCTTTTGAGAAAAAAAGGCAAAGGTAATGACAGGGTGAATTTCACACCAGGACATTTCTGATTGATAGGCCAGGTTAGTTTGCCTTGTAGTCACAGTTCAGATGTACGGTCTGTAGAAATTGTAGCACTCATAGCTCAGTAATCACGAGGAAATATATATTCTTGATGGATGAGCTTTCTAGTGCTCAATCCCTAATGCATTTCTGTGTGTTAAACAGGGCTCTCTGTCTTGGTAAATAGTTAACAGTTCTCTGAAATTTGACAGATACTTCAGGGTGTATATTTTTTTACTGTGTAGCCGTGCAGCAAGTTTTACTGCTAAGTTTTATTCTGTTAACAGCTGTATTAAATTTTTCCCTTTTTACAAAATAGGTCTGTGCTATCATTTCAAGTTTTAGGAAACCAAATTCCATAGTAATAGGAAATTAATCACAGTCCTTCTTACATGAATATATAGAGAAACCTGAGTAAATGTAACAGGCCTGAAGCAGGAACAAGTGATCCAGTGCATCGTCATGTGGACTGCAAGTCTTGAGCCTGGCTGGAGGCCTTAATGCTCTGACACCAGCTATAGCTGTAGGCCATCACATCACGGTTTTGTGTTTTAGAAATGAGTGTGCTGAAGTTCAGAGCATGTCTTTGACATTTTTCTCTTTTTTTCTCTTGTTAAAAAACTGTAGTGGAATTTATTGATTGATTCCGCTTGTTTTGATTTATAAATCCTGCAGTGCTAAACTCCAGTAGAAGCTGAACCACAGTAGGCAGTAAGTCTGAACTAAAGCTGTGTACATGTTTGTTCAGTGGTCTGACAGATTCTGCCTTTCAGAAAGCTATACCTTCAAGTTAGTCTTTTAGACACCACCAGATGTACTTTGAAGTTGGAAAAATTGCTGTCCTACCACACTTGGTAAAATACTGAAGTAAAATGAGCACTAAGATAACTACAAGTTTTAACATGTCACTGTGATAACAGTCTGTTAGGCTGGCATTCGGGTGAATGCTTTAAAAAAAGATTATCACACAAAGTTATGGAGTACGAGACATTTTATATTCCTTGAAACAATTCACTAATAAGAAGGTATTATAAAAAAAAAGTAGTTGTTACTTTTGTGGTTGATGTAGTCAAAGATTTTATTTTTTTTAATATTGCTCACACTTGAAGAACATTTGCGATTCGGACTTCATTGAGCTTTGTGGGTTTTCTCTCTTGAAGTCCACGTGTTCACTGCTTGTTTAGCTGTCTTTTAAACTATCTTGTTGACCTGCTGCATAAATAATGAAAAAGAACTGTGTTCATCTTTAACTTTTTATATTGAATTATCAGAAGAAAAAAAATGCATTTTTAATTTCTGCACTCGGAATGTTTGTGCCTTAGGTGAGGGGGTTAGAGGGAGTATTTTGCCTTATGCTACAGAGACAAGATAGCGGAATTTCATACATCAGTTTCATAATCCTATCAGTCCTGCACTTTAGGGTTTTGCATAGTGATGAGTTTGTTCTTTGTGCTAGAAAAAAAAAGGATGAATGCTCTCAGGAGTTCTGAATTTTGTTCTTTGCTTCTTAGAAATCCAGAAGGAAGTTGGCTGTAATGGCAAATATGGCTGTGATGGTCCCTGTTCTTACAAATTTGCTGTGGGGGATACCTTGAAATCCTGCTTACTTGTAAGGGTTATAAACTTTAACGTTAAAATCCTCTATTATAATTCTCTGTAAATGACTGTGGTGTGTTTGTTTGTTTGTTTGTTTTGTTTTTCTGGTATACTTTATTCTAGCCAGCCTTGGAGAGCTGAGACCTCTCTGAGGAGCTGGCTGAATTATATTCAGACTTTCTCAGCAGCAGCTGAGCTGTGCTCTGATTCTAGAGCTTAACATACTGACGGTCTCAGCTGGAATGAAGCAGCTGTCTTTGATTCCAGCAGTAATCTGATGTTGTTTCATGTACACTAAGCAAATAGCTGTCAGTTGTTGATTTAAGAAACAAAACAAAAATCTGTCCTTCTCAGGGATGGCTTTATGCACTGGATTAATTAATTTACTATCCTTTAGTGTCAGAAACAAACGTGGCTGAATTAAAGGAATGGTTCACTGTGGCTTTCTGGTCTGCTTCACAAAGCCATTTCTAAAGGGATGCGACTACAGCCATTCCTGATGAGGGAAGGCTATCATGCAGTTAGGCATTTACCCTGGCTCATTATTGTACTTTTTTCCACTACCAAAGCACATGCTGATCCTTCATGGAATGTCGGTGTGTGCAACAGGATGCAACAAAGCAAAAAGGCAACATATACGAACCATTTTATGGGCCATTCCTGAGTAGTTCAAGAAATAGAGAGTACAGTACGTGGGTTTTCGGTCTTTATTGGAGTAGCACTCATATGCATCTCTGTAATGACTGTGTATGAAGACAGAGTCTAGAATCCAAAAATGTTGGATTCCAACTGGAAAAAAAAGCCATTGCTAATTTAGCTAACAGACTTACTTAAAAATTACTTTGATCTTCCATCATCTTTGCTTTTTGTTTGTAATAGTGCTGATTGTTGTATTTTTGTGAGTGTGGTTTTGGCTTTTAGGTCAAGATCTATTTGAGGTTCAGAACGACCTCTGTATTTTATTTGGAGTTGGTGGGGGAGCATGTGCGTAAGTGCTGTGTAGTGTGGTTCTTTGTGTGAATGTGGAAAACAAACTGAACAGAAATGTGTTCTGCGATCTAATGGTACCCTCTGATCAAGGGATTGTAACTACCTCGTGTGCAAAGCAGAAAAGCATAGTGGACAGAAAAGCATAATGGACCAATGTTCCCTGAATTCTAAAAATTAATGTGGCTTTATTTTTGTATATGGTAACAAAAATGCATTTTTTTATTACTAGAATTTCTTTAGTTGTGCTGTTTCTTCTGTGTTGTATCTTGTAGAGATTCATGAATCTGTATTTGATTTAAATGGTAAGCTAGTTAGGGCAGATTTAACAAAATGAACAGTCTGTTGGATGTAGGGAATATAATCTGTTGGAACACTCTTCCTGTGGTTTGACCATATTCTTAGCAGGCTCCAGTCATTTGATGATCTATTACAGCTAGAACAGTGAAGACTTGAAACTCAGCCCACTTTCTCCCCAGCTGAGAATCTAGGACAGCTTTAGGGGTAGGTGGATACAGTCCTCTTCAGAAAACTAATTACGTAGTTTGGCTGGAAGTTGTATTTACCAAGACAGATAGGATACTTTCTTTGGTTTTATTCTGTAGGATTTTTATGAGAAAATCTCACAAAGTAGAATTCTAAAATAATAAAAAGGACGCCTGATCCATTCTGACAATCTGAAGTAGGATCCTTTAAATCATTTAGCTCTGTGATGTTTGTCTAGCCCATCTTTAAGGATTTCTAGTGTAGGACGTTACAGTCACATTTAACTGTTCAGTCCAAGGCACTCTGCTCCTTAGACGTTTCTTCCTCCTGGCCTTGCTGCAGCTGAAACCTCGTTGTCTGTTCTGCTATGGATGGAAAAAGTTGTTTTTGGCATTAACGCCTGTTCCTACATATCCCTTCCCTTCTGCAATTTAAACAACCATAGCTCTTCTCAAGTGTTTTTGTACTCTGAGGTGTTTTCTGCCAAGGCGCGGTACCCAGAGCTCGGCCTGCCAATCCAGCAGGTTTGTCAATATTGAGTGTGCCGCTGAGTGCATTGTTCACATTGTGTGCAAGAGCATGGTGTCGCCAATTCATGTTCAGCATGCGATACTCTATAAACAGACTGACAAATGTAGAATACTACAGAAATTTGGGTCATTTGTTTAATACAAATACATTTTTTTCACAACAATAAGCAGATATATTACTCTTGTTTCCCTTACCTTCTGTCTTTCAGTACACATTCAGCCACAAAAACATACAGTTTTTCTTTTGCAAAAGAGAGGGAATTAAACAAGTAACACAAACTTGTAGTTCCAAATATTATACACAGTAAAATATTTTCATCATAGAGTAAGTGTCATTGCTTTATTAGAAATTATAAATAGTTTGTTCTGGTGATGGGGAACTTACTATTTTTTTCTACACAAAAAAAAAAATAAGCACTGCTTTCAGATAAAGCAGTGTGTGAATGGCACAATTGGACTAGTTGAGAATCTTCATAATGCTAATGATAGTCAGAAGTGGTATATTTACGCCAGTTTGAAGTTAATTTTGTAATGCTTATATCTTAAATCAGGAGAAGAAACGTGCATACCCACAGATTAGATAGAAGTATCTTGCTTAAAATTCAAGATCTGATCTCACACCAACTTACTTCCACCTACCTTTATTAAAACTTTGCTTAAACAGGAATGCAGATTAAATTCTTCTCAGTAATGGCAGCTTGGAGCAAGGCTCTGCCCTTGTTGGGTTTAGCCAAGCTAAACTCCACTGTCAGTGTGTTTGCCTGAGATGCACTGTGGCTACACAGGTAGCTTGATACTGATCTTTATTCAATATCTTGTACCTAATTACATTTAAAAAATCTTAGGATGTATCTTAAAACTTTCAGTAAGCTAGTTTTGCAGCACAGAATCCTGTTAATACAGAAAATTACCCTTTTTGTGGGAACAAAGAATCATTGTTTTATAAGCAGCTGCCCAGGGTCTGTGTTCACGCATCATCATTACTCGTGCAGACCTGCATCTAAGGCATGTTGGTGTGAATAGATCCTTGCTGTCCTGAAGAGGTCCCGCCCTGCTACAGAAACAAATTCCAACCCAGCATGAAATCCCTGAAAGCTTTAGCATATCCACTGCACCTAAAATGAGAAAGGGTGCATTGGCTAATACTGTAATCCTTAAAGAGTTTAAAGACTGCTTCCAACCTGCTGTAATCTCTTTTGCTGCCGACTTTAGCAGGCAGTGTCTCATTTTGCTTCTTTTTCTGCTGTCTGAATAAATATTTCCAAGGGAGAGGATGAATTTCAGCTGAAGTCTTTCTCCGATTCTTACATTTAACTTTAAGCTCAGTTGCACATGAACTTGAGTGCCACAACAGTGTTTGGAAGTTGAAACTTTCAGTATAAAATGACTGCAAGTTGTTCTGCTGCTTTCTCTTCAGTGTGTTTTAAAAATGTGCAGTAATCTTGCTGGATGCCATACATCTGTTTTCAGAAGCCTCAAGTACTTTTTTTCCTTTATTTGAATTCTATGCTTGTTCAAGAAAAGAACAGCGTGAATTAGTCTCCAGTAAACTGTCAAAATAGGGGATAAAGTACTTTCAATGGGGTCATGATATTACAGCAGGCTAAAGAACAAGCTGGCTAAAGAAGCAGGGTTACTGTCACTTAGATGACAGCAAGAAACTTTCTGATCATTTCAGAAAGACCTTAGTTGTCTTCCACAATTTTTTTTTGTCAGTCAACTATGCTGTGATTCATCAGGTTTTATTGTAAACAAAATTCCGAAGAGAATGGAGATGCAGCTAGTAATTTTAAGTGTCTAACTTGCTTCCACTATAATGAGATTTACTTGTTAATGAACAGGATTACACTTTTAGAAATGATGTCTTTGCAGATTATTTTAAACACATGCAGTTATGAGGCATTCCTTAGTACTGGCATGGTTTTCTGAAGACCTTGTAAAGTCTCCTCCACAATTATAAACAGAGAAATGATTTGGTTACTCACATACCTGTTTTCAAATAAGAAGCTGTTACATTTCCAATTCTGCAAATGGATAACTGGAAAATTATTTTATATGAAGAGCAAGTGGCATCATTTGAAACGGCTTGAACATCAATCCAACTCACCTGGAGTAACTTACAATATTAATACGTATTTCAGGTGTATTCAAGCACCAAGATTTTGTGTCTGGTCTGGCCAGATGACAGTCACTCACCACCAAATTACACGAGCAATTTCAAAACAGGAATAAAATGCTCTGAAAAAGACACTTTTTTTTTCCTTCTAATACTGCTACTTCCAGTAGTCCCTGAGCCTTTAAACACATTCACAAAGAAATATCTAATAGATAAAATCCACTACATCTTAGGCCCAGCACCCTTCATATTTGGAAGGATGTGATGACTCACTTAACTGGAGATGTTTGAATATGTGAGGAGGAAATTCACCATTAGAAATTGCAAGACTGTAGAAGGCTAGTCTGCTGGCGATTATGGCAGATTCCCCCTCTGAATGAACCTGTGCTCTCTACTCTCTTTACTCTGGTTCTTTACTTGCTTGTTTGCTTTTCCTTGTTTACCTAAATACAAGACCAAAAAAGAACTTTAAACTTTTTTTTGTTTCTTTTTTAATATATATTATGTTCAGGCCCTGGACTTGTCCAAGCCAGCATGTAACTCCAAGTCAATACCTGCTGTCGTGCCCTGATGGTAAACATCACAGGTATGAGTAGCTAATCACAAAATGTGTTCTTCATGTAATTCAGCCTGTTGGACACAGTATTATATCTACATTCATTCATCTATTGCACCCTTTAATGCTATTCACACCTCATTTTTATATGAGAATGCTCAAAACATGAAATTAACAACTCAACTGTTGAATCTCTAATACCTCAAGTTTACCTGTACAGAGGGAATCCACTGATGTACTTTTCTTAGTCAGGAAGATAAAAACTAACTTTTCAGAGCAGGGAGACAAAAACTACCATCCTTTCAAGATATCTAAGTATATTCTCTTCTCTCTACCTGTCTACATCATGAATTGTAAAAAATAAAACCCAAAATACCTTTCATTGTCCCTGTGTCATCTTTTCAGAATTTGATAATATGCAATTTACTTTTGTGTGATTTTGCAGTAAACAGCATTTTTTCATTTATAGTTTTGCCTCAAAACTTTATATATCCAATTTATGAAAAAAAACCTAATTCACTCTTACAGAATAAAATAAACAGCTGAGCTGCTGTTCTAAATGCATTATCTACAATTTTTCTCCTCCCCATACTTGTTTTGCTGACAGCTATAGTTAAAAGTATCTACATCCTATGGAGATGTGAGTTTATACTGGTTGGAATTGCTTATTTAAAAAAAATAAAAATCAGGCATATTCAAAAACAGTGCTACCCTTCAAATGTTTCAAATATTCTTAGTTGACACAGCTGCCCAAACTCCCCTGGAGTCACACGGACATACATCTGTCACTTCACGAGGCTCAGAGTGGGTGCTGTGACACAGCTCTTTATACCTTGGTTCAGTTAATGCGCGTCACTTGAACAGTTCTTTCAAGTGTGTCTTTAAGAGCATAAATAGGAAATACAACTTTTAGTAGTAAATAGATGAACGGTTTGGTTTTGTTTGTTTCCTGTAAACAAAATGGTTCTAGCAGGTCTGTGTCTACTTGCCCAGCCATCCTTTTTTTTTTTTTTTTTTTTTTTTTTGTATAATAATAATTTTAAAAGTAATGCTGTCGTGTTGGTTTGGCATTGTCTGTTAAACCTGTCCTCTATTGCACTTTCTACACTTCCACTTTCACAACACTTGCTGACTAGCTGAGAAACTACTTCACAAATGGTCACATTCCATACAGTAACGAGTTGCCTTGCTGGATCCGTTTTCCTTCTAGGGTTTTGGTTTGTGTTCTTTTGTTTTTTAACTGAAAAAATGCACAGTCATTTCTACTCTCTTTCAGCATTAGTAGTGTAGAAAACACTACGCCTTATTCTGCAAGGAAGAAACAACGCTGTCTCTGTCAAACTGGCATCACCTCAGATGTCATTTCTTCAGCTGCCAGCTGAGAGTTTGTACCTGTCTGTGCTACTGGCACCACCACGGCATCTTTGACGTCTGAGCTGTGCGTGCATGAAGAGTTCTTCTCCTCCAATTTTTTGGCGGTGTCTGGGCAGTTCTGAACAAAGATCACTCTGTTGTAGGCTTTCAACCTGCGCCACAGCTGAACGTAAACCTTGCACTGCACGTACATGAAGACGAGGCCCCCTGTGAATCCAATGGCCACCACCACGAGTTTTGTCCAAAATGGCCATTCAAGGACACCTTTGAAATAAAACATTTGTATTTATTACTGTTGTTACAATGGGTATCGAGTGCTTAATATCAGTAAAATGTTTTGAAAAGCAGCCAGGTGCTAAGAATTCCCAGATATGTACATGCTAGTGGGGTGGCTGTGGCTCTAGTGGAAAACAACAGCTGTTTCCTATCCCACAGGCAGAGGGCCAGACAAGAAACTACATCCGACTCCCACTCTTAACTGACTTCCCCACAATTTGGTCAAATAACAAATTCAAGACACGCTCATAACAGAAGCCTAATGCTTGATATGATTTAAAAAAAAAAAAAAAAAATTTTCATCCTCACATTCAATGGTTTACTTAAGCAAAAATACAAGTACCAGAACAGAGACAAATGAATGCCTAGAAACATTATGCACATCTTTACCAAATTTTTTTTTTTTTTTTTATCATGCTAGAAGCATGACAGTGTTTATGGTTCCTGGAAGACCAACATTTATGATACTACCTGGTTCTAGCTTCCTTCTGAGGACAGGGCACAGTAAAAAATAAATAAATAATGGAAAGAGCTCCAACTCTTCCATCATCCATCTTCCTTGCCCTGTCTTTTTCCTGCTCTTCTGTCTGTGCACCCTCCCTCCCCTCCCCCAAATCCATGTATATCAAAAAGGAGAAGTTTTATCTCTGTGCTAAAAGGGTATCTTTACATATCATTGATCTTTATCACTTGCACTGAATAAACAGCAATCATATTGATATTTACAGAAAAAAAAATAAGGATGCTGACACTGAAAAACTAGAGACGAAAGTATTTGAACGTGGTTGTAATATGACTAATGTTAAGATGATTTGCATTGGCCTACATGTGGTCTTACCAATTTGAAGGAACAAACAGTTGTATTAAGAACAGCCTTCCTCTCATTAATTCATGTCACCGTTAGCTGCTTTTTTCAGTGATTCAGTAGCATAATATAAAGGAACAGCTACCATCCTTCCCATTACTTGCTGCCTCATTACATTTAAGGATTATACACAAGAGTCAAACCTCTGTGTTTAGCTGTCAGTCTTTGAACAACCTAAATAGTTTTACTGGTCATACATGGAAGGTTTCTGACTAATCTTTTGCTCACAGCGTGCAGTATTCAAGGTGCCTTTCAGGTGCTGTATTCAACCCTAGACCTGGTAACCCAGAATCCTCAACAGCAAGTTTTTACTTGTAGCCAGCTGTGAGGCTCGTATGGATCTGGCTACCTCCATTACTGTTAAACAAGGTAGGAGCTGGGCTTTTAATTAAATAAGCAACTAGAGACCACAAGAATACTAATTATTGCAAAAGCTCTAAGTAGCTCTCAGTCATCTTTGTTGATTTTTTAGGGTGAAGAATCATCCAGAACATTTGGCGAACACTGAATTGCATACAAGTCATAAATACATTTTGAACCTACCAGGATTAATTAACATGATCCTTATACGTTTTATGTAATGGCAAATATTAATGCTAGCTGTTTTGTTGTATAAATCCAGCTAATCCACAGCCTGTACCTTTCTCCTTTTTAATGAATAGGGTGGTTTATGTTGTACTCATAAGTAGAACTTCAAAGCCATTCCTAGTCCTGTCCTCAGGGTGTTGGGGGATTTTCTGTTTTGTTTTGGAGATGCAAAGCAGGGCTACCCATTTAGAGAAAAGGCAAAACAAGACTTTGTATTATACGTTCATCTGTGACTTAGTGAGGCTTGTTACTTATTTTCCTCACATAGGCACGAAAGGCAAGCATCAGGAGTATCATCAAATATTTATCTAACTAGCACGGCACAAAGCTCTGCCTGTTTTGTTTTCTGTGTTAACTAGAGAATACAGCACAAAGCTGGAGTCCCTCTACTAATTCCTAAAGTCAATCCAGATCAAAAAGAAAATCTTATCAATCTCCTTATGATAATCATATCTAAGACATGAATTTAAGACCAAATAGACTGAGACTTAACTCAAACTAAATGCAGAAATGCAGACTTGAAATGTAAAACAGTAGATCAGCTTGCAATATAGTTTCCACACACAGTAAGTATACTCCAAAATGGAGCCTACTTAATTCTAGTATTAAGTGTAAATTATCTATCCATCCTTTCCAAATACATGATAAATCTTGATTTTAAATTCTCTGGTTTTGCATGCAATAAATTAGAACATGACTTCCATGTGATCAGACTTTAGGTCAAGGAATAATACACCTGAACGTGACAGGCAGAACAGTTTTTGATTAGCACTAGCAGGGGAAGCACTGGATGAGAATCTTCCCTGAAAGGTCACTGGGAATGTGTCTTCACAAGTGTGAGTTGTTGCTCTAAGGTGAGAGGCTGTGCTCTCTACCTCAGCTGGCACATTTCATCTAACTAGAGAAAGAAAAGTACAGGCTAGCATCATCACTCCAGTTAGACTCTGCCAGGCCCTGAAGTAAATGCTTCTGAGAAATTAAATCAGGTAGCTTCTTTCTCTCTTTCTTTCTTTCTCTTTTTCCCTCTCTCTCTCTCTCTCCCTCTCCTTTTTTTTTTTTTTTTTTCCCTCTTGAAATCACAGAAATGCAGGGGTTGTAAGGGACCTCGAAAGATCATGTTCAATTTTATCCATGTAACTGAATATTTTGGGACAATGTTTGCGGCAGTGTTCTGAGTTCTGAATTTCAGGATTGAAGATAAAAACTGTCTATAAACTAAGGCTAATAAAAGAAGCACTTTGTTTCTGCTTTGTTAATATAGATACAACTGGAACATGGTCTCTTGGAATTTCTTAATAGGAAGCTTGTCAATAAAAGGGTTCTATCCTGTTTTACAGGATACAGAGGTTCAAGTGGATAATATAAATAAATTGATATTTTGTGAACTGAGCTTGCACTGGCTTTGATTTTGGCTCATCTTTTTTTCTAAGCCTTAGAAATACCTCGATAATGGGAGATTAACCAAAGAAGAACAGCAGGCTAGTTAAGCTGTCGTAATGGTTACACTTAGCTGAGATCTCTCTGCAGGGGCATAAAGCAACCTTTTAACACAGATGTGTTCGTTACTTCTCTATTAAAGTATTTGATGGAGCCATATATCAATGAGGTGTTAACTTGAGAACTGAATGTGACTGGTTATGTGGCTGCACTTCAAATCCACCCACTGCGTTCATTATCAACAAGACTGAAGAAGATAAAAAACACTTACCATTATCATTGCCTTGTTTAATTTCCTCAGCGGTTCTATCAATTAAAACGTACAATGACCAAACAACACAGGTAATTGCAATTACATGGAATGTGACTGAACAAACTATTTTCCTCCTCTCACTTGTCGTCATCTGCAGTTTCTCCCACTAAATTAAAAAAAAAATAAAAAATAAAAATGAGAAACAAAATCAGATTAGTGAAATTTTACATTAAACTGATTAGGCCATTCTAGCTCTTTCTGCCAAAAAAAAAAAAAATAAAGCAAGCCTTAATAGACTTAACAAACCCTTTTTTCCAATGATTCTATGATTCTATGATTTTATTTCAATAATATACAGAACAGTAGTATGTGCATTGTCATGGTAAAATTCATAATGATCTCATTTTCACAGATTCACAGGAATGAAGAATTAGGAAGGAGAGCTCCATTCTTTCTGTTTGCTTGTGAATGACATCTGAAGTAATTTCACTGCAGTACAGCCATAACACAGTAATAGACAAGTAAAAAGATGAATATTTATTTTTAACTTTTCCTGTTGCACACTTCTGGAGAGAAGAGAAGAAAAAAAAACACATTGCCTTGCAATATTTAAACTATTCTTAAGCATTCTCAGTTTCTTAAAATTAAAGGAGTTGTGGAACAGCCTTCCCATAAAATAATAGCATGAAAAATATTCTTTTTCCCATAAAGAACAGCTGCATTTGAGGATTAAATTCAATAAACTTGAGAAGATGATTACATGGAAATGATCATACATGATAACAGTCTCAGTAACTCCAGAAGTATCTTCCAGGCATATGTTTGCAAATTATGGCACTAAATCCAGGCATGTGTTTGTGAATTATGGCACTAAATCCTAGTTTAAGTTAGGGCTATTTTAGAATGAAACAGGCGATTCTCTGCATTTGAACAATGCAACTCTTGAGGCGATTTTTTAATCTTGCTTGTGAATACATATATTTTTTTTTTTTTAGCATTTCTCTAAAATAAAACCTTTCTATACCAAAACATTTGCCTTTGAAAACAGATGAAAGAATATGACATTTAAAAGCAAAATGCCTCAATCTGATGAATAATCTCACAGAGTCCATAGCTGGCATCTGATGAACAAAGCAAATGCAGACCACGATACAACAGTGCCACCTCTCTCACAGTCATGCTAATGCACGACTCAGCTGGTTCACAATCCAGGCCAGGGCACTGACCAGCGCAGGAACACCCTGCTGTGCCAGCACGTACCTTTGGTGCTCCCAGGACAGGGTTCCTGCTAGCTTCCAGCCACCCTGGCCACTTCAGAGCACTGAGGTGGCAGAAACTTACTTTGAAAGGTTTGCTTTTGTTGTAGGCTGGTTGGGGTCTTCTGTTTTGTTTAGTTTTCTTTTGGGAAAATAACGAATTTCCCCAAATTGCTCATGGCCAGAGTTGGAGATGGCATCCTATACAGGGCAGGTCTCTAACCGGAACTGAAACGGCCACTCCTGGAGTCTGAACACTACTTGCTGTCCAGCCAGATTCCCACCAGGTACAACTGCCAGGAAAGCCGAGGAGTGTCCATGCAATGAGACCAAGAGGGCGAACTTCCAGCAGTGCTGCTGTCAGCAGCTAGCTTTAGAGCAGCACGTACTGGTCCAAACAAACACCATTCCTTAATGGCAGCTTACACATTTCAGTCCTGTTGTCTCAAAACGAAATCTCAGTGGACTGTTTGCCAGAAATTTATGAGCACAAGGCTTAAATAACTAGAACCGAAAGATTTCCTGAGTAATACAAGAAGAGACAGAGCTAGCAGTTGATACATCATCACAGCTTCTGACATGTACTTAAAAGTGAAAAGTAAGCTTGTGGGATTTTGAATAGCAGTCTGGAGAAATGGCATGCATTAAAAAAAAGAGGAAATAAAACCCAGAACGTCGGGTTCATGTATTTCATGTAGGCAGTGTTCAGTGGTAAGAATGGAGACTGTGGCATTAACATTACAGCCTTATCATTACAATGACCAGGTTACACAGCATTTGACCTGGAGACTTTGATCCTTTTTTTGCAATGAGAATTCAATTCAAGCCTTGCAACAGGCTTTCTTGCCAAAGAAAAAGTTGTCTTTGTCCACATGGAAGAAAGGATCCTGCCCTAACCCTTCGCGTAGCTTTGGATGCTTTGTGGAAGATCAATGGCTAATATAAAGAAGAAGGAATCGTGTTCTCAAACAGAAAATTTTCTGTCGTCTCTTATACTACATTTTTGTTCTACTGGTGGGGAAATTCTGTGCTAAATTTTTCATTGTCATGCATATCTGCAGCTCATTATAGCTATTTTGCTCTCTGTCATGCACTGAAAAGCCTTAGATGGTTGACCTGAATGCCAAGTCAAAGAAGTCTTTTCCTTGTGGTATTTTAAAGTTTGGAAAGAAGAATATGCCATTAATCTAAATGTAAACATGTTGTAGGTGGAAAACAATGACAAAAACAAATGACCATCTGGCAGGATAGGTAAATAAAGGCACAGCCTCGCAAACTTATGCTGATATTTGCAGGAAATGTGCATCACAAGATGTAGACAGTGAGAACAGGCTAAAGCCAGGCTTTTTTGCTAACATTCCATGATCAGATGATCAGACCAGCTACACTGCAAGCCAAGACCTACTGGCCTCTGCTTCCTCTCTCTGCCCCCTTTTCTTCTCCCACGGGAGAGCAGGGCTGTATGTCTACTGCATCCACCCATGTGTTACCACACCAGAAACCAGCAGGCTGGCAGGAGAATGGCAAAGGTCACTACACCATGGAGCTGGGACACCGCGTGGAGCACCCCTTAATCCCAGCTGCAATAAAAAAATAAAATAAAAAGGGAGAGAAAGGAGCACAGGGGAGATCTCTGCTCAGGGACAGATGCAGGGGGGATGAGAGTACTTGGAAGTTTTTACAGCTGCTTGGTGTCTCACAAAGCCGTGCGGCTGTTCTGCCCAGCTCTAGCTGCAGGCCCAGTTCTCCTCTGCCCCAGTCACAATGGTCTGAGCTCAGAAGGGGAAATTTAATTAAACTTAGTGCTCTAGTCCTGGGTGAACCCTATGGTGGCTGAGGTAATTTTCTTGTCCTAATCACATATTTTAGCTTGGCTGAACAGAGAGTACTATGTGACTACTGTCATTCCCTCCTAGACGACTGATCTGCTAGCAATTTAAACCTGCAATTTAAGTTGCCCTGGAGCAGAAAAATGCAATTCACTCTTAGGATTTTTGCAATAGGCTTAAATCTAACATTTAACTGTCAGTGTTAGCACAGACTTGCGTGGATAAAAGCAAAATTACGTGAAGTAAAAACTACTTGAAAGTCCGTAGCAAAGGCTTTGAGACAACAGTATATTGAGCAGAAAAAGCATCAGCCCCTTTTTCTTGTGCTGTGTTGTCCAGGGCTCAATATATGCTAAACCTGGTTGGGGATATTTGGCAGCTGCTACCATGTCACACAGCACAGGAATGCCTCCTTAATCCCCAGTAAAGTCATCTCTGCTGTATTTTGCAGCTTCTGCAATTCTCATGGCTCTCTACATTTAGTCCATGATGGTAGGATAAAAATAAGCCGCATCACATTTTATTAGCTTCAACCTTGAGCTGGAAAAACCTACATCCATCAGGATGACACCTTGTGACATGCCATGGATAGGGTATCAGATGCCACCAAGAACACAAAATAACAGAAGTGTTCAGATGCAACTTTCCTTGGAAACTTCCGTGTTAACGCTCCTAAAGTGCTCTAGAGCCTAGAAGGAGTGAAAGAGACTGTAAGCGACAGAGAAGACATTTATAATGACTTGCAAATTAGGGAGTCAATGAACTGCTAGACAAACACTGTAGTTTTTGTTCAGCCCACTCTGAAGCATCCCTTCTCGGTGGTACACCCTGTTGTGACCACCCCCACAGCCCTTACTGGTGGCAGCTGTACAAACGCAGGCTGGGAATCACCAGAGGCACAGACTGTTTAATACCCTGCAAACGCAGAAGCAACCACACGAACGACATTAGGCTCCACGGAACAGGTGTGCTAGCATCTACCAGCCTTTTTTCCACAAACAACGACTGTGTATCCCGGGAAGAAAGCTTGCACCGTGCTCTGCAGACCACAGGAGGGCGGTGGATGACCGCGTACCTGCTGCAGAAGTTCCCAGCCAGGAGCCAGAGGGAGCCAAGCTCCTGCGCTGCGCCGCCCGGAGGTCTGTAGGCACACCTTGGAGGTGGCAGCTGGAAAACTGCAGCCTGGTTTAGATGTCTACCTTGTGCTTTCTTTTTGTTTCTTACAGACTGCTTTGCTCGGAAAGGGGAACGGTTTCTGATTTCATAATCTGCCCTCGCAATTACAAAACGCAGTCATGAGTCTTCTGGGGGAGAGAGGGGAGACTTGAATAGGCTGCTCATAAGCAAGGAGCATCTAAATCATATGCTGCCAACCACTTCCCTTTCCTCTAACATGGTCTGAGAAAAGAGCTGATACTTATTTTAAAGGACCAAACTTGCCTCCCCACAAGGGCCATCTAGTAAAAGCTTGGTTAATCAATATGCAACAAATACATCCGGATATTTTTAGTACCCTCTGAAAATGGATCGTCAGAGGGTCTGAAAATGCTGCTTTGTATCCTCAAACTACCAGCACAGCCTTTCTTCTTACAGACTGAAGTATGTCCACGGTTTTATCTCTGCCCTACACATTAAGTTTTCTACAAACTGGTTTCAGGGTGCCCTGGTACAGAAGCAGAAGCTTGGTGCTGTTCACACATCACAGGATTGCACCCCACAAACTCTGCCGCTTGCCCCCCTTTCCCCCATCTTCAGACTGCAGATTTACTTTTTGTGTCCCCATGTGGACTCCTGCTAGGGGGAACACCTCACGTTGGACACGAAGTTTTGTCTGCACAGACTTCCTGAAGCAACTCCTTACCTACAGCAGATTTGCAGATGCACATGTTTACCACATCAGGTCTGTCTCCTGCAGAGGCTCGTGACTGAAGATGCCAAATCGAAGGTGAAGTTAATGGGCTGCTTTGCTACAGAGTGAACGCTTGCGCCTTTAGCTCCCAGGTATTCTCAGGAACTTTTTTTTTTTTTTTAATGCCATGTAAGGAGGCTTGACAGGGCAATCTGGAGTGGGCATTACACTG